ATGTATCACCCTATGTTTGGGTCTTATACTTGAAACGTTAGTTACTCTACATTTAGTTTGCTACTCGCTCGATGCTTGTACTGACCCCTTCAGGGGCCCCCACCATTTCAGGTTGAAGTTAGAGCCTATTGTCTACACCTTTGCACGGGTGGAAAGAATCTAGAGGAAGACGTGGTTCGTGCTTCCTTTATTATTTTAAATCATAAACTATGATCATGGATACTTTTGTAATATTACATTGTTTTGGCCTGCGAGCCTTCGTTTTGCCATATGTGGCTTATGATTGACCGTTGAATATTTTCCGCTATTCATTCAATATATGATGTGATGTTGCTATGTATGTTTACTACTGAATATGGTGTGAACGATGTTCATGAACGCCTTGTGTGATTATGTGAGGTTGACTTGCGAGTGACGTCACTTAATCACACGGCGGTTGTACACACGCTTATATGCGGTCTGGGGCGTGACAGGTGTGGTCACTGTAACTCCGATCACTGCGGTCGGCACCAACAGAGGTCACGACGAAGGTGTAGGTCACTTCGACGGAGGTCATTGTTGCGGAGGTAACTGCAGTGAAAGTCACTATGGTGGAAGTCATTGTGACATTCCAGGTCACTGTTAGATGAGTCACTAAGGAGTGTGAGTAATTTAGTAAGTCTAATACTTATTAGTCATTTATGGGGATTTTTAAGAAAAAACAACTTTTTGTTTAACACTAATTTTTAGTAATATTTGTGATATAACCCCATATATAAGATGAGTTTAGAGGAAAGGTTACTATCACAAACATCAGTGATTTGCTAGAAGAACCACAGGTACAGATATGATTTAAAGCAAAGAATTTGTAAAAAATGATCATATTTTGTAACTAACAGCTTCGGTACACAAGATGGAACCTATTGGCTACTTGGTGATATTGTATCACTAGACAACTATAAGGAATGGTGCTACCTTAGCTGCCCAACATGCAACAAGAAAATCAAGCCGGAAGATGAAAGATTCAGATGCATCACATGTGACACGACTCTTCCGGAGGGAGTGTTGAGGTTGTATTATTTGTTAAGATAAATCACTTGCCACTATTTTAAACTAAGACTACAACTTCAAACATTAATCTGCCAACTTCTGGTATGCAGATACAAAGTTTCAGTTTGTGTCATGGATGACTCAGGTCATGCAACGTTCACCTTATGGGATAGGGAATGTATTGAGATTGTGGGGAAAACAGCAGCAACATTAAGGAAGGAAGTTGAAAAGGTTGATTCAAAAACAGTTTTTACATTTCCATTACTGAAAAAGAAAGGAAACTAATCAAGATTTTCATTTTCAGAAAACTGGAGACCCAACCCACTTCCCAGAGGACATTGAGGCTTTGATTGATCAAAGAGGCATCTTCAGAATTAAAATAAAAGCAAGAGACGAAAGTTCTTCTTACAAAGGTCCAGTTTCGTATGGGATACTTGCAATGATAAGAGATAGATCTATCTTGGACCTTTATACAAAAAATGACAGCCATGCACTTGAAATGGATGAGAACGCAGATTTAGAGAAGGTAAATGTTTTGAAATGCTTGTTTTGGTGTGGACGGCATAATCTAACATTTGTTATAAGTGCAGAGTGGATCAACAGGAACTGAGATAGAAGATGGGACTGCTAGCAGTAAATCAAAACAGGAGATGGGGATAAACATTCCTATCAACTAGTTTTGTTGTATTATATGTTACTAATTTATTTTGTATACAGGCTGTTTTAATTGAAGATGACGATTTCGTGACACCAACACAAGTGGAAAACAAAGGTGAAAAGGTATGTTATTATGAAATTCTTTTTTGACTTTTAATCGTCAAGTAATTAGGCAATGAATACAGATTGTCTCTGGACAGGGTAAGGAAGCGGATTGCCAAGAAACTCCAACAGCTAATCGGACAAGTGGTGGTATTGATGGGAACAACCAACTTAAGAGAAATCTGAATGACCAGTTTTCGGCCAATGTTAACATCAAAAGGAGAAGTATCCGCGTCAAGCAAGAGAAGGAGTAAGGGTGAAGATTGACCAGCAGGCTCAACAACATTTTGCTTGAAAAAAGGAGTGGATTGATGATTTGTTGAATATTTTGTTTGGGCACTTTCATATTTATTTAAAACTGTGCCTTACTTTTTTGCTAAACTACGAGCTGGGTCTGTAATAATACTAACTCCGTTTTGCATTGTTCAAGTTGTAGGCATGAAAAATTATCAACCTAAGACTTATATTTGCTATCAAAACCTATTTTGCTATGTTCGATTTTGCAATGTAAATTTTGCAGGGTTAAAGGACTCCTAAGGATGCATAAGCACATGGCAGAAGGGCACATAAGACAGGACGGAAAGAAGACCATGATATGGAAGGACGAAGACAGAAGAAATTAGTCCAGATGGCCTTGATTGATATAAAAATTCTAGACAACAATTATTTCTTATTAGTGAGAATTGTAATTGTTTTGATTATAAATAAAACGAAATTAAGTTATGAGTTTAAGTATGGTTTTGTGCTACTTAAAGTTCAAGTATTTTTGAAAAACTCTATATACTTTAAACAACAAACCTACAAAAAAAGATGAAAAAAGAAGTGGGAGATAATATAATACAATAACCTACTTTGAACTACATATTTCGAAAAAATGTTCACTAAAAACATGTCATCTAATTTATGTTATGAAAATTTACTAACAAAAATGATAGTACAAAAAAGTGTACTAAAAAAATGTCAGTACATATTTTTGTTAGTACAGATTAAAAAAGATTTATCAAATTTAATTTAAATTTGAACTACATATTTCGAAAAAAATGTTCACTAAAAACATGTCATCTAATTTATGTTATGAAAATTTACTAACAAAAATGTTAGAAAAAAAGTGTACAGTTCAAATATTTTCGAAAAAACACTATATAGTTTAAACAACAAACCTACAAAAAAAGTTTCTGATAAAAAAATGTAATTGCTGCCTAAGTTTAACCGGATGGTGAAAAACGAAGTGGGAGATAATATAATTTATAAATATTTAAAAATAAGTTTCAGATTAAAAAAGATTTATCAAATTTAATCTAAATTTGAACTACATATTTCGAAAAAATGTTCACTAAAAACATGTCATCTAATTTATGTGATGAAAATTTACCAACAAAAATGTTAGTACAAAAAAGTGTACTAACAAAAATGTTAGTACCTATTTTTTGTTAGTACAGATTAAAAAATATTTATCAAATTTAATCTAAATTTGAACTACATATTTCGAAAAAATGTTCACTAAAAACATGTCATCTAATTTATGTTATGAAAATTTACTAACAAAAATGTTAGTACAAAAAAGTGTACTAACAAAAATGTACATAAATTTAATTGAAGTTTAATCTAAATTTGTTATAAGGATTTAAAAATAAGTTTCAGATTTTAAAAAAGATTTATCAAATTTAATCTAAACTTGAACTACATATTTCGAAAATTTACTAAAGTTAAAGGAATGTACTGACAAAAAAGTTAGAAGAAAAACTATCACCTGAATTATTTGCTGCCTAAAATGAAAAAATTAGGCTGGATTAATTGTAGGTGTGGAAACAAACCTACAACTTGGACTGTAGTGTTACATTCATTTCTTTGACTATATTGGGTACAATCAAAGGATACGGTAACATATTTTAACTTTTTTATTTAAACCAAAACTTTCATAAGAAGGTTTTGGTTAAACAAAGAAATAGAATGGCAAAAAATGAACTATTGTCCAAGTTAATTAAAAAGGTTTTTGCTGTCTAAAATGTTGACTACATTTAAAATCATACATCATACAATTTATATATTCACAATGGCTAATAATAATAAAGGAGGATTAAAAGATATACCTGGTGTTTGGTGTGGCTATGAACGTGCAATCCTAGAGGTCTAAACTATTTAATTATTACATATGAGACACCTTATTAAAGGCCCTAAAACCTATGAATTACATTAAGTAAACTAAAAGAAAAAATAATTACATATTCCTTAATGTTCCTGAATGCACCTGAAATGTAAATAAAAACACCAAGTCAGAGGAAGAATTAATTTATTATATACGTAATCTATTATGCACTTTTAAGCAACTAATTAATAAGCTTTTGTGAATAATATACAAAATATAATTTGGAATGTGTGCTCAAAATATGCTTACTTTCTCATGTGTATGAGAAGTAATAACTTCATTGGTATGTAAAATAGTATACATATGATAAGATGTTATTAAAAATTTACACCATCATTATGAAATAACATATATACACTTATAAAGCGCAACCGAAATAAGTATTAAAGATGTTGGTGAATGAAATAACTTATATACACTTGGATAAATAAGTAATTTTATGTTGTGTATCACAAAAATAGGTGACATATATTAGTTAATTTACGTATTTTGAGCACATTGGATGTGGGCCTCATTTTGTTATAAAAAATACACAAATATTAGTATACTTCTCTAACATGCAGGCCTTAAAAGAGTTCAATATATATTATGTAATATCATAAGAAATGGTTAATTAAATTATTAAATTATATAATATATACTAAATAATATTAATATAATCTTTTTATGACATTAAAAAATAAGGAGTGTGAGTACACTTGAATATAACGGAACTATAAATCTATTATACTTAGTTTTGAATTTTGAGAATCGAGAATAGTAATTGCTTTAAATAAAGCTGAAGAGATGTGGGGTTTCCCAATGTTGCATTAAATATAAACAGAGCTTAGAATAGAATTTTCGAAAAGAGGTGGAAAGAACTCACAGTTAATACCATATCTGGAGAAAGTGGCAGGTTCCAAGGCGCAATAAATAATAGGTCACAATCATAGTAAATGTTGACAGAAATGACTACTTACCATTGGTATTTGACCATCTTGACACTGTAGAAGAATAAATAGTCTTTAATGCTACAACCACTACCTCATAAATTCATTTACGAGACACGCCAAACATTCGAAGGAGAGAGGCCAACCAAGGAGTGAAGTTCATATTGATTCCTCATAATACACTGTAAGTCATATATCATATTTTCTATTTTCATTTCGAAAAGATGTTTATGCACATACAATGAACTATTTAACGAAATAAGCAGATGACATTAACGTGATATGCACATACAATGAACCATAGCTGCAAAAATTATATGAATGTATTGTGCAAATGCTTTGAATCATAAATCACATGATATGCATGACAAATAGTAACGTATGATAAAAATATCACGAACCATATAGCCAAATTATGCATCAACTGGATAAATGTGTATTTGCATATATATGTTCCATTCAATATAAGTGTGGTTAAATTATGTGACATTCACGTGAGTGTTTATGTCAAATATATGCAACTGGGGGTGCTATAAGTATGGTTAAGGTATGTTTACAGATGACATGTCATACAAAATGTTTATGAATGTATTATGAATGCAAATACTTTGAAGCATGTATGCACATACATAAATCACATGTTATGCAATACGTTTATGATTTGTATTATGCAAATAACATGAACCATAAAACCAAATAGATAAATGACATGTCATACATAATGTTTAAGAATGTGTATTTACATAACATATGTTGCATTCTATCTATTCAAGATGAGTTGATGTTCACGTGAAGCATATTCAACTGGGGGTGCTATACATATATGAATGCATTATGCGAATACAATGAACTATATGACCAAATATAAATGAATGTATATTTTCATAACCTATGTTCCATTCTAGATATTCAAGATGAGTGAAAGTTCATGTCAAGTTGTTTCATCTGGGGGGTGTTATACGTGTGGCAAAACGTGTGTTGGCATTTTACTGGATGCATGCACATGGTGTGATTCAAACTATAATCATTATTTCTGCATGAGGCAAATAAAGAAGAACAAAAAGTATATGGAATACTTATGCAAAGATTGTTCAGCATGGGTAGATGCACCAACTACGATACCAAGGAAATCCGATCGGATAATACACCTAAACATCAAGTACTTTAATGCAGATATGGTGGTAGGCATGTCATTTGAGTGGATGAGTAGAAGGCACATTGCCTAACAATCGCAACATGACATGTGCATTTATGCTTATCATTTGTAACACGCATGAGATGTGCATTTATGGTTATGTGTGGATGTGAATCATAAGTGATGTGTTCAATGAATAACATTTTGCATGAAATGATAATAATAAATTCTATATGTATTATTCGCATGCAAGTTATGTGATTAGTGTATGATAACATAGGTAATGTGTGCGACGATAGGTTAATTTAGTAATACAAAATATTTTTTATAATGATGATTCCAAATAAATACAACTGCTACAATGCATAAATTGCATCTATGTGACAAATCCAGGTAACGTTAGAGTGCCAATTTTAAGTATGAGGAGGCCCACAAAGTCCACAATAATCAACCGTAAAAGGGCAAACGAAGATCTAGCTAACAAAGGTACGGTCAAAGCAACTAATGTTTAAGTTTAATCTAAAAAATAATAATAAAGTTGCATATTTTTAATACGAAGTAGTACACTCATATACAAAAACAAGTATTGGGCCGTTTATTTAGTTAAAACAGGGTACCTGACTATTTAGTGAAAACAAGTCCATTTAAGTAAATGAGCTGCCAGACCACGCAGACCCGAAGGCCAAACTCTGGCTGGCAGGGAATCTGGCTAGCTCATGCTCAAGACTTAAATCACAGAACAAATAGACAGACATATTAAGACGTAGAGATAAGCGCAAGATTTATGCATATCAATTTAAGACGTAAGCAGAATATGTTGACAGAATATAGTTTAAGACATATACGCATCACAACTTCATGGATCTAGAGATCTCACGAAACAAATGGTATATGCCTTCTAAAAATGTTCGTGCCCACGATATTAAACAGGCCCAATATCGGGTTGTATAAACTAATGTTGTAAAGACATGTACGCATCACAAATGCATAGATCTAGACAGATCTAAAAGCAACAAATGCTACATATCTTATTTTCAAACATGTATGAACGAAAAAAATTATAAATATAGACCCATACGTAGTACCATTTCATGATACGGGGTGACCGAATATTTCACTGCGAAGAAATATCAGTATACCCCTTAGTCACGACAAAATCAAAACGAAAAAACTTATGTATAAACTTGTACGAACCACAGAGTCATGGATCCATACAGATCTAAATTCCAAATAGTGTTAGGTCTCGGAGATCCAGACATGCACCAACCACATATCCATAGATCTACAAAGATCTGTTACAGGTTGTACGTTCAGTAGAAGTTTTTAAAAAAATTATCAGACTAATTTTGAAAAAGCAGTGTGGAAACACCAATGAATTGAATGTTTTAAAGATTTTGTATATAGAAAACCAAAATACAGAAAATCGAATATATAATGAAACGGTATGTTTAAATCAAAGAAATTCAGAAATATACCGACAAGTCAATCGGAATACACAACAATCGTTCGAATTGTATCACATGGAAACACAGGCCATCCATCATTCGGATTGAATGTCGACGTACAGAGAAGTGAGAACTAAGAAGGATATGGATGATGGCGTTTAGAGGGGGAGTTTTAGAGGGGAGGATGAATGTCGCATTGAAGACGGTAGGTTTCTATCGCAGAGGGAGGTTGAGGCGTAGAAGGGTCTGAAGGATAATAGGTGGATGCTGGATAATGGGGTGGAACACAGGTATTGGGGTATTTATATTTAGGGTTGGTTAGGGTTGGTCTGGGTAGGTTAAATGTAACGGGTTGGGCTGGGTACGTTTAATTGGGCCGGGTAGGTTTAGGACTGGCTGTAAGGTTTTATGGATTATAAGTTGGATCCGAAATTTCAGGTATTTGGGTCTGAAATTAAATAGATGTTACATACTTTTGTACATATTCAATATTCATGGTTTGGTCAGATTTAATTGGGCCATAAAAATATTTCAAAGCATTCAAATGGGTTAAAACTTAGCTGGGTTTTGAGGCTATTTATATGAGCTAAAATTCTTAAGTTATTTTTAATGATTAAAAAATATAAATTGTACTCCATCCATTCTTTGACCGTATTAGTAAAAAAAAATTAAAAAACATATTTTGAAAATTTTCATAAAATAATAACGTAAAATGTAGTCAAAGTTGAACATGTGAATAGTGTAAAATTCAACATGTTGCAATTGCGATTAAAATAGAACGGAGGATAGTATTATGTATAATGGTAACGATACAAAAAAATCAAAAAAATCATATAATAATGACCATTAAGAGAGTAAGATTTTTGAATGAAATGTTTTCTTTTATTTTTTTAGAATAAGATTCAAAGTTATTACTCCTAATAGAACAGGAGTTGCTAAAGTTTATAATAAAACAAGTTTCAAATTTAAAGAGCAAGCGATTCACGTTTCCAAATAATAATAATAGTAATTGAGGGCATGCTTGTATTTAATTGCCTTAAGCATAAAATTTTAGGGCATATAGAAATAATCTATTGTATTGGAATCATGTACTCCGTAATAGATATAGTTTATTGTATTGGAATCATGTAATTGACGGCATATTTGTATTTAATTGCCTTTGTGGACAGAAAATGTTGACCATAATGTTCACAAACGTTCGTTGCACCATCACAATGGATCATCAAATGTTCTCATTGATAGAACAAATGGTACTTCTTACTTCTTACTATTTGTATTAGCTTTTATATAATGTCAATACATATTTTACGATATTCATTTGTTACTATTTGTATTTACTTCTACAGTCTCGCTTTTGCCATTTAATCGTTCTTCGAGTGTGAGGACAATGAATATCAGTAATAAAGGGCAATGCTCAAATGTGTGTCTTCCCGACTACCATCATATGTGTGACGAAGTATCAACGCATATACAAGATGAACTTCCATCACAATCACATCAAGTCGAAGGTGCGATGTTATAACTATTATATTCTTATTTGAGGTTTTTATTTTTTTTAGTGATGTAATCGAGGGCATGTTTATATTTAATTGACTTTGTGGACAGAAAATGTTGATTGTAATGTTCACAAACGTTCCTTGCACCATCACAGTGGATCATCATATGCTTTCGTTGATAGAACGAATGTCAATTCTTACTTTTTACTATTTATATTAGCCCATAAATATTTTATGATGTTGATTATGTACTATTTGTATTTACTTCTACAGTATTGCATTTGCCATTTAATCATTCTTCAAGTGTGAGGACAACGAATATCAATAATGTAGACCAATGCCCAGATGTGCGTCTCCTGGACAACCAGCATAACTGTGACGAAGTATCAACACATATACAAAATAATCTTCCATTAGAACAAGAACAAGTTGAAGGTGCGATTGTTATTACTATTATTTTTAAATTCGGGGTTTTTATTTTTTAGTGATGTAGTCGAATTTATATACAAAACTTTGTATTCTATTATTTTTAATGGAAATATTTAAAATATAATATGTAATATCAAATAACCAAGTTTCATACCAGTTTAAAATATAACATGTAATATCAAATAACCATATTTTATTAATTATTAATATTAATATGGACCTTTTTTACTTTAATCCACACTAAGATTGCTTCATAATTTCTCTTTCTAAACACAGTAAGTGCTGAATATTGTGATATTGGGGACCCATCACATAATTGTGCCCACTGTGGAGCACTTTTCTGGTTTGATGAGAGGACACTCCGAAATTCTACAAAAGCCAACCCCAAGTACTCTGTTTGTTGCACACAAGGAAAAATAGTATTGCCCAAATTGAAGGACCCCCACCTGAATTATATGATTTGATTAACGGGACAAATCCGAGGAGTAAACACTTCCAACATAATATCAGATCATATAATAGTATGTTTTCGTTTACATCGATGGGTGGGAGGATAGATAATTCAGTTAATAGGGGCAGGGGACCACCAACTTTTAAACTTGGTAGTCAGAATTTACATCTAATAGGGTCTATGTTGCCACAAGAAGGAAGTGTCCCAAAGTTTGACCAACTATATATATATATATATATATATATATATATATATATATATATATATAGTTGGTCAAACTTTGGGACACTTCCTTCTTGTGGCAACTATATATATATATATATATGACACACAAAACGAGGATCTTAACCGCTTGAGTTCTGTGAGAGACAATGCCAAAAGTAACAATTTGCACGAAGAAATCGTGTCCACTTTAAGAGGAATGCTTGATGAACATAATGTTTTGGTGAAGTCATTTAGGATGGTTAGAGACAAGATTGTTCAAGGTGGCGAGGCAAAAGTGAGTTTGAACTTGATAGGTAGGAGAAACAAAGATGCTAAAACTTATAATCTACCTACGGTTTCAGAGGTAGCAGCTTTGGTTGTGGGGGATTTTGATGAATCACTTGGTGAAAGGGATATAATGGTTGAAACATAGGGAGGGCTTTTGAAGCGTATAAATGAATTGAATCCTGCATATTTGGGGTTGCAATATCCACTTCTCTTTCCCTTTGGTGAAGATGGCTATAGGGAGGATATTAACTTTTGTGATGGTAATAGTTATTCTACAAAGGGTCGCCGAAGTGTTAGCATTAGGGAATCTTTGGCATATAGACTGCATGAGCGAACCATGGAATGCACTTTCATCTTCCAAAGTAGAAGGTTGTTCCAACAATTTGTCATTGATGGATATACAATGGTTGAGTCTTCAAGACTAATGTACATCAGAACACATCAAAAATAATTGCGGTGTGAAATGTACAAAGGGCTTTCTGATGCTTTGCTTAATGGCGAGAGAGATGCTTCTACCCAGGGAAAGAGAGTTGTCTTACCACCTACATTTGTTGGAGGAGCCCGTTACATGGTTCAAAATTACCAAGATTCAATGGCAATATGTCGTTGGGCTGGGTATTCGGATCTTTTCTTGACGTTCACATGCAATCCAAAATGGCTAGAAATTGTAAGATTTCTCAAAGAGAGAAACTTGAGTCCTAAAGACAGACCATATATAGTATGTCGAGTTTTCAAGATGAAGTTGGATGGATTGATCAAGACCTATGTCAAAATAAGATATTTGGCGAAGTCAGAGCAGGTATATCATAGGTCACAACATTGTCCCATTTAATTCAATGTCATATATAGTATAGTAAATTTATAGTGATGCGTGTATATTTTTATGTGCAGTGATATACACGGTGGAATTTCAAAAGTGTGGCCTTCCCCACGCTCATATTTTGTTATTCATGGGAAGTGCAGACAAGTTTCCCACTCCGGCGGACACTGATGGAATCATTTCTGCAGAAATACATGATGATTCAAATGATCCTGAATATTTCAATGCAGTACGCACGCATATGATGCATGGACCGTGTGGAAATGAAGCAAAAAGTGCTCCATGCATGGTACAATCTAAGTGTTCAAAGCACTTCCCCAAGAATTTCAATGAACAGACAACTGTTGACGATGAAGGTTATCCAAGGTATAGAAGGCGCAATGATGTAACACAACTTGACAACATATATGTTGTTCCCCATAACAGGTATTTACTCTTGAAGTACGAGGCTCATCTTAATGTTGAGTGGTGTAATCACTAATCAGGGCCGGTCAATCAAATATTTGTTCAAATACGTCAACAAAGGACATGATCGTGTGACAGCCGGATTTTATGAAACTTCAAATGCAGATGACAATCAGAAACCCGTGGATGAAATAAAACTCTACTATGATTGTGGGTATATTTCTCCATGAAATAAGAATCCATCTGTTGAACGATTGAGCTTTCACTTTCCAGACGAGCAATATGTTTACTTTGAAGATAATGCGTCGGTAACTGATGTTGTGTTACGTGAACCTGTAAAGGAGAGTATGTTTTTGGCATGGATGAGGGCGAATCAGCAGTACCCAAATGAGGTAGCGGATTTAACTTATGCTGAATTTCCTCAAAAGTTTGTTTGGAAGGCTGCAACAAGAGAATTTGTACCTCGGAAAAAGGGTTTTGCTATAGGTCGACTAACTTATGTCCCTCCAGGTTCAGGAGAATCTTATTATTTACGTTGTGTCCTAAATTTGAAGCGTGGGCCTATATCTTACGATGATCTAAGAACTGTGGATGGGATTTGTTATGAGACATATCGTGATGCATGTTACACAATGGGATTGTTAGATGATGACAAAGAATATGTTGAAGGAATTTCAGAGGGGAGTTTTTGGGTTTCATCATGGGTGCTCAGAAAGTTGTTTGTCATATTATTGATCACAGATACGATGAGTAGACCAGAGTACGTTTGGGGAAAATGTTGGTCATTCATGTGAGATGACATTTTACAGAAGCAGAGAACAGTTTTACTCCATCCCGGTACAAACAAATACTGCTACACTTTTCATGATATTTAATCTTTTAAATAATAATATACATATCTTTGTTATGGTAATGGTGGTTTTGAATTCTTTGTTTTAGATTTAACGTTGACAGAGGCTGAGATTAAAAATTATGCACTAATTGAAATAGAGCTAATGTTGAAAAGGAATGGCAGGAGCTTAAAGAACTATCCATCAATGTCATTCCCTTACATGAGTCAATCATCCATGACTCAGAATAGGCTTATATTTGACGAATTGCAATATGATCGTGCAGCGTTACGCCAAGAGCATGACAAATGCATTAATAGTCTGAATGATCAGCAACGTCACATGTACACAAAGATTATGGAATCAGTTAATGAAAAAAAAGTGAGGTTTTCTTTGTATATGGTTATGGAGGTACAGGAAAAACCTTTGTTTGGAAAACATTGTCTGCTGCTTTGAGGTCAAAGAGAGAAATTGTTCTAAATGTTGCATCCAGTGGCATTGCAACTTTACTGTTACCCGGTGGGAGGACTGCTCATTCACGGTTTGCGATACCAATCAATCCGACTGAGAACTCCACATGCAACATCAAACAATAGAGTCCATTAGCACAGTTGATAATTCGGTGCAAACTCATTATATGGGACGAGGCACCAATGATGCACAAGTATTGTTTTGAAGCGTTGGACAGGAGTTTGAGAGACATCCTCAGATTTACAAATTCATATAACGAAGATAAATCATTTGGAGGGAAAACAGTGGTGTTCAGGGGAGACTTTAGGCAAATTCTACCCGTCATTACAAAGGGTACCAGACAAGACATAGTGAATGCCACAATTAATTCTTCATATATTTGGCATGAGTGCATTGTGTTGCGTTTGACGAAGAACATGAGGCTCCAATCACTTAGTGACGATCGTGAATACGAAGATTTGGTAGAGTTCACCAAGTGGATTGCAGATCTAGGAGATGGTATTGTGGGCGAAGTCAATGATGGATTTGCTGATGTCAGAATTCCAAGCGACATTCTATTAGAGTGTGGAGAGGATCCAATTGCCACTATTGTGGAAAGCACATATCCTAATTTTCAGAACATTGCCAATGATTCGTCTTACTTACTAGAGCGTGCAATTCTAGCTCCAACTCTTGATGTTGTGGAACAAATCAATGAATACATGACATCTCTCAATGTTCAAGAAGAGTCTAGGACATATTTGAGTTCTGATAGCATTTGCAAGTCAAACTCAAATTCTGATTTCTTGGCTGACTTGCACACTCCTGAATTCCTCAATAAAATCCGTGCATCAGGAGTTCTGAACCACGAGTTAATCCTTAAAGTGGGTACTCCAGTAATGCTTCTCAGGAATATCGATCCTTCTATGGGCCTTTTTAACGGAACAAGGTTGATTATTACACGGCTTGGGAATCACATTCTTGGAGCAAAAATTCTAGGGGGAAATATGCAGGACTTGAAGTTGTCATTCCAAGGTTAAGTTTGACTCCATCAGATTTAAGAATACCCTTCAAGTTTCAAAGAAGACAATTTCCTGTGATGACCTCTTATGCGATGACAATAAATAAAAGTCAAGGTCAATCGTTGACACATGTTGGCCTTATATCGAAAAAAACTTCTTTACACATGGCTAACTATATGTTGCAGCATCGAGAGTGACAAATCGCAAGGGTTTGAAGATACTCATATGCGGTGAAACTGGAGAAAAACTAGACCGTACTACCAATGTTGTCTACAAAGAAGTATTTAGAAATGTATAGAGTATGGATTTGCTATTATAATGTTTCTATTCCTTACTCTCCCAAAACAATATTCGTACACATTACGAGTCGTATATATTTTTATCTTAATTACAATTGTTTTTGTGTATTACATATATACTCTGTCATGTCATTTAGACATTAACTATTATTGCTTAATATTA